GGGAGGGTTGGCGATGTATCACACTGTGGAAGTCCTGTCTGCGCAGGGGGACCCTAGGGGGCCTGGGCACAGGAAGTGTGGTGTAAGGGATTTGAGGTCACAGTGTGCTGGAACACTGTGCCTGTGTTTATACAGTGACTGCTCTGGGCACCTATAATTTAGGAAGATCTGTAGAGATTGGGACAGTTTATTTTTCAAGTAGTTAATACTGGTCTGGATTTGCTTAAGTATTTATAAATATAACTGTTGTTGTATAAAGCCCTTTTTTTAAATATAAAAAATTCAATTTGAGCATTAAAACCATTGAAATTTAGACTTAAGCATTAAAATTTGAGGTACTGCTACAAAGAAAATATTAAACATTGAGCCCATGCTTATAATTAATTATGGAGAAAAGTCAGGAATTTTTCTCAAGGACATTTGTGTATCTAATTATTATTTTTCATTCTTGACTAGATAATGAGCTAGGCTGTCTTTTTAACATACAAAAATGCTTTTTTTTTTGGTCCCTAGACATATACTAGAGCTAGCTACTTCATAAAAATAAAATATTATTTGGATTTTGTCATTTATTTAAAAAGTTTTCTAGTTTTATTACTTTTGCTTCTTTGGGGGTTTCTTACGCTTGTGGTTATCACATTATTAACTGGGTCTTTTTGTGCGTCAAAAGAAATTTTGTTACTTTGATTTTTTATCTTCTTCCACCTTCAAATAAGCCTCCTGGTGTTAGAGCAGGAAAATTTTACTATCTTTGGCAGTTCCAAATTAATAACTCCTTATCCCTGAATAAAAGTAAGTGAATCAGGTTGAAGTACTGCCTCCATTTTATCGATTAGGGCAGTAGACACAATTATGCATGGCCTTTGTGAGTGGTTCAAATTTTATAATCCACATTCTTCTCCATATTAACAATTACCGTTGTTAGCAAAATGGAGTGAGAAGCTAAATAAAGCCAGGAAATAGTACCTATGCCCTGGATTTCATGGCAGAAACTGGAGTTGAACTCTGTTTGGCTGATGATCACTCTTTGAAGCTCTGATGATCTTGAGGGAGAAACCTGTGTTCACAGATTTTAGTTTGCAATTCTGTCTAACTGCTTGGAAATTTTCAGTCAAATAAGGTACCGATCTGTTTCCCTGAATAGGACCATAGGAGTCTGAAGATGGTTAGCACTCAAGGTGAAAAAGAGATCTTTCTTTCCTGCTAATCAATTGTACCTTCAATTTGTTGGTTTTACAAATACCAAATGACCCCTTTGATATAAGGGGAGTAAACAAGGACAGGGTAGGGACGAAGAGCTTGAGAAGAAGATTTACATTAAACAGGGATGAGAGGTGGGAGGGAAAGGGAGTGAGAAGGGAAATCGCATGGAAATGGAAGGCGATCCTCAAGGTTATACAAAATGATATATAAGAGGAAAGGAGGGGTAAGACAAGATAATACAAATGGAAGAAATGATTTACAGTAGAGGGGGTAGAGAGAGAAAAGGGGAGGGGAGGGGAGGGGAGGGGGGATAGTAGAGAATAGAACTGACAGCAGAATACATCAGACACTAGAAAGGCAATATGTCAATCAATGGAAGGGTAACTGATGTGATACAGCAATCTGTATACGGGGTAAAGTTGGGAGTTCATAACCCGCTTGAATCAAACTGTGAAATATGATGTATTAAGAACTATGTAATGTTTTGAACGACCAACAATAAAAAAAAAATTTGTTGGTTTTAAATTGAAAAGAAGGAAATGGGATATGGTTGTATCTGCTATAGGGATTCCAGAGAGCTGACAAGTCCTGAGAAAATTCCCAGCAGGGTAGTACTTCTGTGAAGTGGCAGATAGAACCCCTTTAGAGAAAGGCAATAGCGCACACTTTGCTGCACATAAAGTGGTACCCTCAGGGTGAACTCTGTAATGCCACCAACTTTATGACTCATCAGTGCTATTCTTTTGCGATATAATAAACAAGCAAAGGTGAAGGGAGAATTATATTTCTGTACCAAGAGCCACTTGGCCTTTCATTACATAGGATAAAGCCATGGGCCTATTAAATTTTTAGTGACATTTTCAAGTAGGGCATTATCTGTGACCTGATATGCATGCATTGAAGTGTTAAGATACTTAAGAACAAACTAAAATAAAGGGAAGGAAGCTGTATCCTTCGGAGCGAGATTTCTGGCAGTGTTCTGAAGCACTTTCTCAGCACCCAGCCTAGGATTCTGATTTAGCTACTTGTGTGTGTGTTCTAAATTATTCTTCTACTGTTGGATTGATCACATACTCTGCTACATTGATACATGCCTTTCTTTTTAATTTTTATTTTTAAATATAATATGTTTTTTTTTTTAGAGAAGTTATAGATTCACTGAAAAATTGAGAGCATATGCAGAGGTTCCCCATAATCCCTTGGCCTCCGTTGTCAACATACCCCAAATGGAGTGATGCATTTGTTATAATCCATGAACCTACACGAACACGTCATTAACACCCAGAGTACATAGTTCACATTGGGGCCCTCTCTTGGTGGTTTGGACAAATGTAAATGCAAATTCCTCATGTTTGGACAAAGGCCAGTGACGTGTATTCACCAGAGTAGTTTCATTGTCCTAAACATGCTCTGTTTCTGCCTGTTTACCCTCCCACCAGCCTCCAAGCCAATCTTTATTGCCTCTGTGGTTTGCCTTTCCCAGAAGGTCACGTAGCGGAAGTTGTGCTGCGTGTCACCTTTACATATGGGTTTCTTTTACTTAGCAGTATGCGTTGAAGATTCCTCCAAGACTTTTCATGGCTCGGTGGCTCATTTCTTTTTATCACAGAAGAATACCCCACTGTGTAGATGTACCCCATAGTTTATGTGTCCATTCTCAATGCTTTTTGTTTCAACTCATTTTTCTTGGGACCAGGACTAAGGTGAGGTGTGTGAGATGCTCAGGGAATCAAGATGAATAATATGGCAGAACAATTTTTCAAAAAATAAAAATTCATACAGCAAAAATGATGAACAAGGCATTAACATTTTAGGTAAAGAGAAGATCCCACCAAGCCCTGTCAGGGTCACTGATAATCATAAGCAGAATTCCCTATATTCGTAATGCACACGGGACATTGTTCTCTTGCTTTGAAACCTGGTTCTCCTCTGCAGAAATGGCTTCCCCTGAAGACTCCTCTGGTAGAAGTCTTTTCTCAGAATCGTCATAGCATTGTGCCTAGAGGTGGAGATGGCCTCTTTGCTCCTCATTTCCCCCTCCAAACTACTCATCCCCTTTCCTCTCTAAAACGCCATCTATCTCATCCATGAAGTAATGCACCTAAATTCCACCACACTCTCCTCTACTGTGGGAACCATCCCCAGCCTCTTCCCTTTCAGTGGCACAACCCCTCAGTGTGTGCGGGATTTTAGCTTCTGGTGTTCTGTCATCTAGTACAGCGGTCCTCCTTTGTGACTCATGAGGGATTTGGGGGAGGGGTGCAGGTACTGGGGATTAAACTCAGAGGCACCCGTCCACTGAACTAAATCCCCAGACCCCTATGTTTTTGTATTTTATTTAGAGACAGGGTCTCACTGAGTTGCTTAGTGCCTCACTTTTGCTGAGACTGGCTTGGAACTTGTGATCCTCCTGCCTCAGCCTCCTGAGCTGCTGGGATTACAGGCATCTGGCTTCTGAGTGATTTTAATGGTGAGCTCAGTGATCCCTCCTGTACTCAGTTGCTCACAGCGATTCCCTTTAGGGATCTTGCCTTCCTCATTCTTCATTGTCTATACCCTCCCATCATCCTGTTATATACCTTGCTGTTACCAATACCTGCAACTCTTCCAAAATCTTCATTTCAGTTCACTGGCTCTCCAAGTACTACTTCTCACTGCCTCACTTCCACTTCCACAGCAGAAATTCCTTTGCCCATTCACAATTTCAAAAATAAACTGTGCTCACTTTTGCCACTTTAGATTCATAGCCCAGAGTTAGAACCATGCTGTTGCTCACACTCTTAGTTCTGTCTTTCCGTTGTTATTTGTCTGGCAAAGCAACTTATTTTAGAGCTATGTTCTTTTTATTAGCATTTTCCTTTAAAATCTCTGCTTCTTCTTGTTATTTGGCAGTGCTGAGGATTAAATCCAGGGTCTCAGGCATTAGAGGCAAGCACTTGACCATCTCCAGCCCTTTTTAAAGATTTTATTTTGATACAGGGTCTAAGTTGCTGAGGCTGGCCTTGAACTTGTGACTCCTGAATAGCTAAAATTATAGAAGTGTGCCACTGTGCCCTGCTCTGCTTATTATTATTAATAAAGAGAAGTGGTTTGATATTTTACTAGTAGATATTTCAGTTGAGTTTGACAGTGCATTCCAAGTGCTCAGCAAACATCACTAGGTACTAAGAACAGTAATGTAACAATGTAACAGGGGGATACCAGTTAGACATTGAGGGAACAGAATTCATGAGTGACAGTTCTTTATCTAAGTGACACCCTTGAAAACTTTGTGATAAATTTTTATTATGTTAATTGCTTTGAATAAAGAGATTAATATTTATAAAATCTTCCTTGTATCATATTCTATATGTAAAATGTTTAATTAGTGAGATAGGGGTCAGTAGAATTTCAGTAAATTAATATCTCTAGGTAGATCTACTATAACATTTATTTAGAATATTACAATCTATGGACCTTATGCTAGTTTATTTTACATAAAAAATGACCCCATATTTTTAAGAGTCCCATACCTACCTCTTTCATTTTACCTTTTATTCCCCCTTTGGAAAAATATTTGAGGTCTGAATGGGTGCAGTAAAATCCAGGTCACACTGCTGGATGTTTTAAATGGAATGTCCAGATGCTTTGTCACTTGGACCTTTTCCTTGATATTGAATCTCTTTAGCTTAGGTCAGAAGTGGAGCAGGCTTGGATGTTTGGGGCTTACTTAGCACTACTTTATTGTAATGGTGGAGGATCATCCAATGGTCGTCTATGTCAAAGTAACAATGTCCTCTTCTTGTACACTCTCCCAGGTCTACCCTGAGCTGCAGATCACCAACGTGGTAGAAGCCAACCAACCAGTGACCATCCAGAACTGGTGCAAGCGGGGCCGCAAGCAGTGCAAGACCCATGCCCACATCGTGATCCCCTACCGCTGCTTAGGTAAGCTGCCAGCTACCTGGCTGGTGTTGCGTGGTCTAGTCTTTGGCAATGAGAAAGGCTGCTCTAATCAGGTCAGGTACATGGACTTTTCCTTCAGCATTCATCAGTGCATTCCACAACTGTGGATTCAGCGGGCCGTGGATCAAAAATATGGAAACGACAACAAAACTGTCTGTACTGAACATGGACAAACTTTTTTATGTCATCATTCCCCAAAGAGTACAGCATAACAACTATTTATATAGCATTTGCATTGTATTAGGTAGTATAAGTAAGCTGGAGATGATTGAAAAATACAAGGAAGGTCCTTGGGAGGTAGTTCAGTGGGTAGAGTGCTTGCCTTGCATGCATAACACACTGGGTTTAATCCCCAGTACCACCCAAAACAACAACAACAACAACAACAAAAGGAGAATGTACATGGGTAATATGCAAATAACATGACATATAGCAGATGAGATTCTATAGATTTTGGTATCCACAGAGAATTCTAGAACCAGTCCCCCATGGATACTGAGGGATAATGGTACTGGTCTATGCTTTGGACTATTAAGATGGTATTGTATGTTCCAATAGTACAAGGGCAGTATTTTTGAGCTCTCTGCTTCAGAATTAATTTATCCAGGACTGATGAATGAAAATTGATGAGTGGTGGGATCTGTGAACCCTTATTTTACCAAATCTCATAAATGATTGTCATTTATACTCACTCTCTAGCCTGGTAGATTGGGGCCTCATGAGTTTTCATCACACAGACTGCATTGCAAAAAGATTCCAATGTGAAGCTGCAGCGTTTTGCTAATTTCTTGAAAAGCTTTTTCTTATAATATCTGGCTATTTTTTTCCTGTTGTTGGTGATAAGAAGTTGGAGTTGGGTTGATCTGAGGTTTAAAATTTCACCTTTGCTTTTTATTTCTGAAATTGAATTTTATGTGATCTCATGATTTTTCCTCTGGAAACATTGATACAAGTTCTTATTAAGATATGACTTGGTCCTTAATCTCTTCCTGGCTGATATTTTTAATGTAACCAGGTGTTGCAAAAAATCCGCAGTCTTTGCTCTGGTAACTGCATCTAGATGTTGTCTAATAGTTTATTCACTGTGTGAGGCTGTAAATATGGTCATAGAGGTCCCTAGATGGAGACGCTGGACAAATATTGATAGGCATTCTGATGTGACTTCTTATAAAGGTTAAGAGGAAGCCTTGAAGGAAAGCCCTTGCTTGCCTGTGCAAGGCTCTGGGTTCTATTCTTAACATGCAAAAGGATAAAAGAAAGACAGAAAGGAAGGGAGGTAAAAGAGAGAAAGGAAGGAAAGTCCAAACAGCAAGTTGACAAAGTAGATAACCACTAGAGATCTGTATGATATCTGGCCAATTAATGCCATAGAGCTCATGGATACTGTTTATATATGTACATAATTTGAGAAGTAAATGGAGAATACTGGAAATTTCATCTGGTGGATTTACTACTCACAATGTAACTGAAGACAAAGAGTGTAGAAAACCAGATTTTTTTTTTCCAGATTCTTAGATATTTGATAATTACAAGTTTCTTTGTTCTTGGTATTTCTGGTTCCTACATGCCGTATAAGGCCTTTTTTTTTTTTTTTGTCTGGTCAGGAAATAAAGATTTAATAAATAAGAAGAGACTAAGCAACATGTAAATATTAGATACAGAGCTCCTATTTCAGGAAATGACTATGGAGGCTTATCTGTCTCCAGGAACTGTGTACTTCAGACTACTTTTAAAATGGCACCAAGAAATAGTGCAGAGCCGATCCAAGCCACTACAGTCAGGAGGTAGGCCATGAGTTAGTTACTTAGGTGGCCCAGACCCTGTAAATTGCTTCTTTCACTTCTCACTTGCCTGCCCTATGCAGTATTATCAAGTGCATGTTCTGTAGGATATAAACTCATGGAGGTCCTGACTAGATCTTTGAACATGTGTTATCACATAAAAAGCCTGGTAGAACCCTCATGTCACATCAGAAGTGAACTTATGTTTAAATATTATGTTACTCGGAAAATTCTTTCATGATTCAGAATTATTGATACTATAATTGACTAAAAGCTGAATTCCACAAGAAAATTGCAATTTTTTACAGAGGGCCAATAGTTGAGATAAGTATTCTTTGACCCCAAATCAGGTGTTGTCTCCTCCATTGGCCACATTCCCTAATCCTCCCAGAGACTCTTTATCTCTCAAAAGCATTACCCTGTATAGCAACAGTGAATTGAAAATAAATAATAAAAAAAAAACTTAAAAATAACCCTGCAGAAAAGAGATGTAAAAAATGTCCTAAGGTTTATGTATGAAGCCAAAAGATTTTATAACACTGTGAATACACAAAAACTATCAAAATATATTGTTTTTATTGTGCTTCATGCACTCTTTGGGGGAAACAACAGCCTAATTAATTTGAGTTCTAAGAATTAATTGCATTTAGTAAATGTCACCTTGTTAGTGGTGTTGGTGACCTGTCCTCAGCATATATTTTTAACCACTACAGCAAGAGATTCACTTCAGACTGTATCATTTCACTGAAACATGTTTATAGAAATGTACAGGATGGACAGGGACAAGGAGAAATAGAGAGAAACCCATCAAATAATTTTCTAAAAGACTATGGGCGTGGTCAAGACTTAATTCCTGACGGAGCCTTGCCTTCAGCACATACAGATCTCTCTTTTTTCTTCTGAACAGCTTCTGGGCTCCTTTGATGTTGATGTGCATAATTCAAGGGGACAGGTCACTTGTGACCTGTCCAGCAAATTTCCCAGTTCTGGTTTAGTATCTGAGATGAAATGAGTGCATTGACACTAACTGTTTTGGACATCCAGCAGGGACTAGATAATCATTAGCTATTCCCAGTAGGGATTGGGCCTGTTTTAATCATTTCTCATCTTAGAAATCCCTGTTCCTTCTCCACTGGACCTGAAATGGAACTTCATGGGACAAAGAGAACACAGAACGACTCTGGCTTTGCTCTTGAGCTTAGATTAGAGTTAGGGATCTGGGCCTTGCTTGTCTCTTAGGTAGTTTCCCAAAACTCATACTAAAGAATTACACATAGGCATATAATATACTGATGATGTGTAGTCTATGCAGAATGTGGCTTATATTTCAGGAAAAGGAATTGAAAAATATCAACATACAACTCAAGTGCATTTTATTTATACAAATGTTGTAACATCCCATTAATTTTAACACTGTTTTTACTTTCTTTTTTCCCCCACTTTGGTTTTTTCTTTTCTGCCTGCCTTTCTCCTGATTTCTTAATCTGTTATTCATTTCAATATTAAGTGCATAGGCCATCATTAGAGTATTTCTTCCGGAAGACAGTGTTAGTTCTATTAGTCTTTTCCCTCACAGGAGTGCTTATTGAGAGTCAGAGAGATTGGCTTTCTTGCTATAAGTCCCACAGTTCTTCAGAATTGGGACTACAGCCCCTCATTCCTTAATTTTTAGTCTAATGTTCTTTACAATATACATATAAAAATTATGTGTTAGAACAAATATCCATCTGATTTCTAAAACCAACTCATATAAGCAAGACTGTGAATAAGAGCAATAAATAACACTTTTTAAAAAAAATTACCACAGTATGTATAATATGTCAAAATATACTCTGCTGTCATGTATATCTAAAAAGAATAAATTTTAAAAAATCACCTTGATCAAGGCGACTACCATGACGCCTGGCACAGGATACATCTCCATGTGATAATATTTTCTACTTCATAGTAGTAACAGTATCCTTCTTACATATTCCTGCTGTTTGAAGAAAGAACTGCTATTTAGCATTAACTAAGTACTGTAAGATCTCTGACTATACCCTGAGGCACCCTTAGTCAAAGGAGATTTTTACTAAAGTTACTTTTCACAAAGATGCCATCTAGAAAACAATATAAGATTGTCTCAAACATTAACCATGTTAAGATTCAAAACAAAGCTTGGAGAGAGAAAAGTTCAGGTTATGTGTGGCATGCACCTCCCTAACCACCCTATCAGATGAAGGATCCAATGTTGCTCTGGATGATTTCCCTCTAAACCAATTGCTTTGGAAATCCCTGCTCTACAGCATCTCACATGCCTCAGGGAGAAGGGGACAATGGATCAGGTTGCCATCGCCAGGCCACTTTCTTCCCACAGAGCAGATGATTTCCCTTGGGAGTGAGCTGGCTTTCTCAGTTCACCCTTTGCTTTTCGTAGTACTTCTGGAACCAGAATGTACGCTCTGTCTTAATCTTACAAACATTGTATTAATTATTGCATGTGCAATTCAGTGCCTATCATTTATCATCACTCAGGGAGAATTATTTCTTTTGTAAAGCTTTCAAATGCTTTCCATTTGAATAGCTGCTCTTCATGGTGTAATGAAGAGCAGCTATTCAAATGGTGTAATCCACTATTGAAATTGGCACACTTCTGCTGTCGCTGACCAGCGAAAGCAAGGCGCATTGCCTAAGATAAATTACTGTAGATTTACGGGGGCACAGTCAGGTTAATAGCATAATCCAAAGGAAGAATTAGAAGTTAAAGAATGACTACCTGAAATGTCATTGTTTCCTTTTCTAATTAAGACTTTCCAAACATGTAAGTAGTAATAACCAGGAAACTGCTCAGTATAGTCAAATGAGAAATTAAAGGTATTCAATTATTTTCATTTTGAATTTAGCCGTTGTAATAAAATTTCAGTATAAGTATTCCTTTTTTTCTATGTGGCAGCTTCTGTGAATGATCTCTAGCTATCTTAATCATTAAGGTTGCAAAGTATGTATTTGATAATGATAGATATTGGACCATGGGAACTCTTTGAGCTTCTGCTAAGCAACAGTTCTTTTCAGATACATCACACAATAGAACAATACTCAAGAGTATTATGTAGACTAAACCAAACTTCACACATGGGAGTGGGGAGGGAAGAACATTTTTGTTGTCGACTTCAAAGATCTTGTAAATGTTCGGAGGTCCGAGCACAGTATTCCAGTGTGATA